GGGGGGGGGGGAAGGAAATACCCAATACTCAACATCTGTCCAGAAAATGCCTAGGTTTTTTTTACATGGTGTTTATAAATACTTCCAGGACAATAATTTTCAACAACAAATTTTGCCAAAAGGCCACCCACCTCCCTAGAAATTATAATTCGGAAGGTAACCCAACTGATTTCCTCCTAAAGCCTCGGTGTGATCCAAAGCACCGCGGAGAGCCAAGCGCAGGTCATTTCACATCGCCACGTCGCTGGCTGGAAACGCTTCTCCCCGCTCCGTGGCTCTTCCCTTCCCTCGGCACCTACCCAGCTGTAGGCAGGGAGGTGATGGAAACTCTCTCAAAAAACCTTCCGGTTCGATGCCATCGCCCACCTGCATCCGTGCTCGGTCGCCCACCGAGCGTTTTGTTTGTTTTGCTCTGTGCTGATTGTCAGCCTTCCCCGAGTGCGCATTTCATTAGGAACTATTAAAAGTGATATAAAAGAGAAGCTCTCCCATCATATTTACATGACAATTTTTTTCTGACCGGGTCTACTGCTGCTGTTCCCAGGGCCAGGCGCTGTGCACCGCGATGTGCGGTGGGGTACGGACGCCTGCCTTGGAGCTGGCCTGGCAAATCGTGCTCTGCCGCGGGGGTCAGTGGCTTCACACCGGCCACTCAGGTGGACTTGTCTTTGGTAATAGGATTGGGCAGCAAAGTATTTAGAGGAACACGAGAGAAATCCCTTTAGTTTAGTGAGAGAGAATATTAGGAGCAAGTTTAAAGATGTGAACATTAAAAAAAAAAGGCACCTGAGTGAAAAGGGATATTAAAAATCCCATTTCTTTACATTCTTGTGTGATTCCTTTTACTCATGCAAAGAATTGTTCATTCTTAGTACTGTTACTAAAGGCAAAAGCATGTAAAAATACTTAGAGCTGGAAAGAACACAAAGAAAAAAGGAAGGAGAAAGTAAAAATAGAAGATTAAGACTCACAAGTGACAGCAGTTTTGGGGCACAGACGTGCAAAAGCCACTTGTGCATTTACACCGCTCTCTTGCAAGGCATCCGGTGGATGTCAAGGGGATGGTGGTGTCAGCCAGCGGGTGCTGCCAGGCTCTGCCCTCCCAGCGCAGATGGAGGAGTGTGATCAGATGCTGCGGAACCAAGTGTGTTCCCACTGCACCAAACACCCCAAAAGTTAGCGCTCGTCTCCGTTGCAGCGGCAGGGCCTGGGGCATTTGCACACCCATGGGCTGGAGAATATTTACAGTCTGATGGTGGTTCTGGAGGGAGGGAAGGTTCCTGGGATTCGGATGAAGGCACTGGGATTATGCCCAGGACCAGGCTCCGCAGAGCAGGACTGTTCCTGTGTCACAGCCCAGACAGCGCTGCAGGTGACAGCAAGTGAGGTTGGGGCAGCTAAAACCCAGAGGTATCCTCACCTCGATCCCCTGGGCAGGGCCGTGTTCGTGGGTGCCCTTTAGCAGTGAGGTGCCGTGGTTTCTCTGGGGCACAGAGGTGACAAAGAGCCTGTTCCCCTTTCTGCCACCAGCTTTATCACACTTGGGACATGCCAGGTCTAGGAGGAAGGGTCAGAATATGAATCAAATAACACTTAAGTCTCTGCTGCTTCTCCCCTGCCACTACAGGAACTTTCTTCTTCACAAAGTATTTATGCTGGTCAATAAAATCCACAAACACCCACCTATCTTCCTCTCTCTGTGGTTCTAGACACCTTGGCTAACATTTAAAATGACCATCATGTTTAAAACCAAAGCCGCTGATGGCTAGCAACTTCAGTGATAAATACCTGCCGAATGTGAACCACCCAACCCCAGGGAAGCCCCCAGCCCAGCCCAGCCACTGCAGTGGTGAGCAACGAGCCTTGCAGGTAACAGGAGGTGGCTTTGGGAAGAGGCTGCTTATCCCAGAAAGTTTGGTGCAAAGGTAAAAACCCCTGGGACTGAGACAGAGGAAGGGAACAGTCGCTACCTGAGGCATCCCCTCCCTCCCCAGCCAGCTCCTTCCAGGCTGGGAAGCAACGCCTGCCGGGCTGATGCAGTCTCTAGGCCACCTGGGCAAGCTTTTGGGAAGAGGCTGTCGTGTGTGGGGAGGTCCTGGGAAGAAGGAAGGGCTGGGGAGATGTTTTGTTTGTTTATCTCAGAGATTTTTCTCTTAGAACAAGTGAAATGAGTTTTTATTCCCAGGTCTTGACCTATTCAGTGACAACTGCTAACTTTTTCCTGCTCTTTGCTGCTCTCCCCAAATAGTCTGAGGAGTAGGGGAAAGATTCTTTAGGGCTGATGCTTTTTTTTTTAAATATTTATTTGTTTGTTTGGAAAATGCTGGGGTGGAAATGGCTTGCAGGAAATAATTGCTGGAAATAGGAAACCTTGGTGGATTTCCTATTTTTCAAGAAATCCACTGAAGTATTGATTTTTGTTAAAATTCTTCTGTGAGTTTTTTTGCACTTATATTGTTTCCTGTTAATTTATTTAACCTATGGCTGGGCCCAGCAAGTCATCCAGGCATTATGTGTGCTATGTAAAATCCTTTCTACAACTTCCTCTCATTGTTTCTCTGCTGGCTGATGGACTTTGTGCAATTTTTTCCGTGGGTTTTCTGCAGTGAAGTTTCTGCAGATGTGGGCCCTGCCGAGGAGCAGAGGAGGGGTAGGTGAACGTAGAGAGGATGCTGACTACGGCACTGTGAACTCCCGAGTGTTGCAGCCTCCTGAACCGATGACTTCTTCCTCTCTTCTAGTCACAATAACAAACAGCACCGCCTTAATTAACTGCAAACTCCTGCTCAGATGGTCTTTCTTGGCTTAAAAACTGGGTTGTTTCTGTCTTGGATTTATCTTGTTTCTATAGCATAATAAGCTTAGATGAAACGCTTCTGGCTCCATTGCTAGAAGTGCCTTGGGGTTGCTGCAGCTACTGACCTGGTCGGTATTTGCACGACAGGAGCAACACATTGCGTGGATGATAAAGGCAGGTGGGTGTAAAGTGTATGCTTAAGAGAAGAGGGGGTGATCCCACAGCGGGCAGCAGTGCCTTTCCTACCTGTTAGGGTACAGCCAGCCTGTCAAGGAAGCAGCTGGGTTTAACTCAGGAGAATGAGATAACTCTATGATACAGGTTTCTGAAATGTCAGGAGCAAAGGCAAGCTGACCAAACTTGGTGACTCACTTGGTTCAGCTATTGCTGAGACCACTTAACTTGCTTTCCAAAAGTAAAGACTCAATATTGAGTTGAGTATCTTGTTGGCTTTGCTGTGGCTGCTGGAACAAACCCTTAAGTGCTCCTAGCAAACTAGCCCTGTGGTATTACCTGCAGCTGCCCGCTCTGCGCTCACGATTATGCAAAGCTCTTGCTGAGCTGCTGGATGCTTCTTTAGCATCTGCTCTATCCAGGTTTTTGGCTCAGTATCACTTCCGTTCAAAGCAGGCTCTTCTGTAAGGCAGGCTGCTTTAACTCACCCTTGCCAGCTGTCACCAGTGGAGATTCACCGCCTTCACCTATCGCTGCGATTTTGTGCATCTAGTGCCCTTTCTCACACCACACCGGCAGTCACCAGAGTCGGTCCTCTCTTCACGTGCCTGCTCATTCTCACCCAGAGAGCACTTAGGTTTGGGCAACATGCAAAACAACATGCAAAAAAGGCGAATTCTTTGTGCTGCTACGATTTACTGCAGAACTGATCCCTAATGGGAGATGATGATCAAGTGCTTGGCTTGTGGGCTGTTTGGACGTTCTCGCTCGTTCGTGCCTATTTGAAGTATTCAATGACTGCAGGAGTTAGACATAACCTCGTCTGGTTTGCAATCCTCGCCTTTGACAGCTTGTCTTTAGGGATGCGATGATGGAACATGGCTTTTGGGCTCTGTCTTATTTAATGTTTTTAACTGATAAAACTATGTTTTTGTCAGAGTCAGCAGCCCACAAGCCAGCTGTTCGTACCTTTTGTGAGACGGTGGTGGGCAGCCCACCTCAGTTACCTTTGAAAGAAATGTGATGGTAATGTAAGATCTTGCAGCAGCTTTGCTCCTGAACAGAACTGATGCCGGGTCTTTGACCACTGAAGGTGGTCTCAGCTTCTGTACTTCCTGAATCTAAAATATTAGGAGATGGTGGCACTGGAAAGGGCCCGCCAAGTAAATGTTGAGAGGTTCTACGGGGTGGTGTACACGAATACATTTCTGCCCCTGTGAAGGCAGCCTGGGCTCACAGCGAGTACCGCTGTGCTCCCTGATAGCTGTGCTGGAGCAGGCAGGCAGGCAATGGCCGGCAGGTTCTACTCCAGCTCAATCTCTCTCTGAATACTTAATGCAAAATTCAAGGCCTATTTCTTATTTAAATTCCTTGCCTTCCTAATTTGAAAGACATTAAGTTTTGGCCTTTGCTTTTAAGCAGATGGATGCTCATCATTTACTTGTATGTTCCTTTTTTGTGCCACCATATCTGTTAGGTGCAGGAAAAATTTGCATTAGTATTGAGGTAGATCAAAAGATTTTCTTTCCACATACGCTGCAAATAATGTCTTTTTCTGGGAGAGGAAAAAAAACCCCAGCCCAGTCCTTTCCAAATGGTTTGTGGGATGATCACGGTCAGTGTTTTTAAAAAAAAAATCGATCCCCCCCTCGCTCCGATGCAGCATCCTGTAAGTATACATTTTAGCATGGGTTTAGTATTTAAATGTTTCCTAAAAGTTCATTGTTTTATTAAAAAAAACCCAAACGAAAGACACCACCCACCCAGAAAGATCACCCTAATTTATGGGAGCTCTAAAAGGTAGCAGGATGACAGATAGGGAGGAAGGTGATCAATTAAGACATTAAGCATTTTGCACCACATGGACGCATCTGCATGTCAGCCAAATAATAAGGCCATCAGCTCATTTTCAGGGGGCTGTTGCCTACTTCAACTCAATCCTCAGATCAAAGAGAAAATGTCTGCTTGCATTTTCTAATCAGAAAAGGGATGCTAATTTAGGTTCCTTAATGTGTGGTGGTAAGAGACTTCTTCAATTAACTGAATTCTATAGCTCAGAAAATAAAAAAGGGGGATACAAAGGGAGTCAGGCTGGAAAGGCAGAAGTTCTCATTAAATCAAAGGTCCAATATTCATTACCTCCAGCATCTGGGGCTAAGAACTAAACATGGAGATCATCAAAGGGGGTTTAATGGGTTAAATTGAGAATATAATCTAATTAAAATATTAGATACAAGTAAATAGCTCTTTGATATTCATCTGAAGGTTTCATTAAAATAGGTACTTGAGGTTTGTATTAAGGGGGGATTATCACTTTTAAGCAGAAACAACAAGTTGAGGTTCCCTAATCAGAAATGCTTCAAAGTGTTACCATTCGGTTTAAAAATAAAAAGTAGAAAAGCAGCAACTGGCAGAGCATGGGAACATTTACCCAGGCTAGCTTGATAAATCATACCACAGGCATGCACATGCTACAGAGAGGGGGCAGATGCCGTTCCCAAAGGCGAGGAGAAAGGAGGCTGAGGCAGAGGATGGTCCTGTTCCAGAAGCTGCAGTGGGCATTTGAAGATGCCAAACATTCCCCCTGCAGCCTGACCCACATTCCCCACGTGGGAAGACACTTCTTCCACCAGGTTTCCCCCAAAGATGAGGTAGGAAACAAACTTCTGCCTGCCAAGTCTAACAGCCTAACTCGGCACGGGCGGTGGGAGGCAACAGACAGGGTGGAGAGCTTCCTATCTCTCAGGTGGGTCAGGAGGGCTTTAGAGAAGGGAATGTGTCCTTCTTCCATGATGGAGAGATGCAGTATGGTGGTCAGTTTTTCCCACACTAGGCTGGAAACCTGACTGGAGATCCTGCAGGGTGTATTTCAGCAACTTCAGGAGGACTGAGGCATCCCGAGGACTGTAGGATCTAGGTCAAGCTCACCCAGGACTCTATAAAATGAAAGGTATAGGACTTTTCCAGCAATATATGTCATACCTCCAGTGCCTTGACTTCACTGTACACCTGCTGGAAAATGATCTTTCCTGTGAGACATTCAGCCAATGAAATGTTAACCCAGAAATGTGTTAAGTCTTACACATTTCTATCTTTACCTTTAATAAAAGGTGCATCTAGAAAGAGAGAAAGCCATTTCAAAGATACTCTCTTTTATGCCCCACCTTACTTTTCCATCATTAGCCTCCTTCAAGGAGACTTGAACCCTTTTTTTTTTTTGCCCAAAGAATAATTCTCTCTCTCCTCCCATACAAAAGGGGACATAATGCACTGGATAAAGAAATTACACATAATCACAAGGTTGTTGTTTTTTTTTTTTCCTGTTAACTAGCCTATTTTCTAAGAGATTTCAATGTGTTTTCTTCAAAATTCCCTTGCTGTGTGTTCTAATCACATTTCATATGTTGACTTAATTCATAATTTACTAAGTTAAAGAAATGGAACCATCGTAAGAAACCCATCTGTTTGTTGTTATTTTTATAGATTTAATCTGTTAAAAGCTGTTTCCTCTCAAACATGTAGCTCTCAATTATCCTCAGTTACTCAATCTATTTTCCAACTGCTTCTGGCTAATAACAGATTGTCTGCATGATCAGCCAGTACTTGTTTTGAATTTTTTTGTTCCAGATGAAGCTTCAAAATTTTGGTCTTGACGTGACAGCTATTCACTAACAGATAACAGAGTAATATTTGAATAATTAGCATTGTATCATTACCAACTGCTGTGTTTGGTGCATGTTCTTGGTTTTTTCTTACCAGCAATGGATTATTTTTTGTCTTTACTTCTGGACTCTGCTCTTCAAAAAGAGAAACATTGCTGGTATTAAGATCACCAAATGAAACTGATGTTTATTTGTAATGTTTTGTAGTTATGCCCATATGTTTGACGTGCCTAAAAATGATCCAGCTGTGACAAGCCAACAGCTGGTTAGTCTGAAAGATACAACTGCTAGATCAGTTGACTTCAAAGCAAAATAACCACAGAGATGACCACATTTAAAATGCTACATATGCAACCGTTTATTTTTAAAAAATAGGTATAGTAGAACTGATTCTAAAATTTATCAATGATTAAACTTAAGCCACTTTATATTTCAATGGGGTGGTAAATCAATATGGTCATAGTTCATAATGAAGTAGTTCAGACATTTTTGCCTTGAAGATATCCCCAATAATTTCAAAATAGTTATAAGATATGAAGGGTTCTGAAAGCAGCTACAACTCGCTTCTCCTTCTCGTGTCTATTCTGCAAAGTTTCCAAGGATGCAATTTGAGGTAAACTGTCTCCATTCAAAGTCTGTGGCAGAACTCTTTCCTCTTTCACCTCTTCATCTGATTGTCTTGCCATGAAAGTCTTTGGTCTGGGAATCTTCTTAGCATATTCCAGTGCCTAAAACCATGAAAAATGGGGTAACTGATTAAGAGAAAACCTGACCAATATTTCCAAGAAAATGTAGGTGTTTCTATGTTGAGTCAAATTAATAGCTCTTCTAGTTCCTGATCTTGTTTCTGGCAGTGTTCAATCTAGATGCTTTGCTGGTGACTGCAAGGAACCACTGCAGTGGGCAAAATAACCCACCTCAAGGAGATTTGCTTTCTGACACCACCGGAGGCCACCTTAAATACTGAAGCAGTGTTTTTTCTTTAAAAATGAAAAAATATTAAGTTTATAAACATAATCTTTTTTTTTTTTTTTTTTTCAGTCTCATTAAGTTCTTGTCCTCAGTCATACCTTATTCTCCTGGTCAATATGACAAGCATGGGAACTGACTACTTCTATGACAAATTCTAAGGAACAGATGTACCGAAAGGCCTAGGATGTTAAAACAAGTTTTGAAATGAAGTCTAGGTAATTGTTTACATTCTCTGGAATGTGATTTAATATAATCCCTTGCCAAATTCCTTTTTGGTTAATGTCAAAGATAACAGTTATGAACACAAAAAGATTTCTGAACAAGTGAGGATGGTAGTAGACATGTCAACCCCTAACAGGTAACTGTTTCGGAGTAAAACAAAGAGTTGTGTCTCACAGAGTCCTGTTACAACCATGCATATTCTGTTGTGACTGGAAATTTCTTTACCCAGTCTCTGCAGTGCCCAAATGTACTATACAGAGAATATGAACAGCAGCATGAAATAAACCCCCATTCCAGTTCTTTTCTACTTCAGCCCCTCTGAATATGTACATGCTGAACAAATATACTGTGAAGCAGAGGGAAAGGAGAGCACTAATGGAATACCGACAGGGACAGCATATCCTGAAGAACTGTACTTCCCATGCTGGCTGAGTGTTTCCTTTTATCACGCTCTTTTCTGTAGCAGTATGTACGTAAACTTGCATGTGTGAACGTGAGACGTAAAGATTATATTGTGCAAACAAGAAGTATGTAAGTTCTATTTAACTGGGCTTAGGTTCTACTGCTTGATAGGCTTAACTTTCAAAATTAAAACTGTGAGTACTCAAACTGTTGTTCTAGATCTGCCATGTCTCACTGAAGCTGAGCGGGGCGGTGCTGAAAGAGGAATGCAAAGCGGATACTGGTAAGAGTATCAAATAGTGCGGAATGATGTATGGAACTGGAAGGCTGTCTTGCAGAAGGAATGGAAATGGTATTACAGATATCCTGAAACTGAGAGAGCCCTGGTTTAACCTGGGACATTTTTTGGTGTCTGTGTTTCAGTTGCATGTATTTGGAAACACCTGTTATGTCTCAGGTGGAAGTTGCATTATCTCACGTTCTCAGT